TGTTAAATCTTATGAAAGCCTCTATTTAAGAATATTTCAATATTCTAAATTATATGTCTCTTTAATTCTTGGGTTTGAATTATTTATGAGAATAATTAATAGTGGTAACAAACAACCATACAAGCTAAATATCAGCAGTACGTATGGTAATAAAAGGTACTAAAAATCTTTTTAGTCCAGTGGCAGGGCTCAGTAGTTGAGTGTCACCCTATAAATCTGGAGGTTATATATGGTTCAATTCCCAGTCAGGACACATGCCTGGGTTCCCTGCTCGATCCCCAGTGTGGAAGCGTGCAGGAGGCAGCCTATCAATGCTTCTCTCACATTGATGTTTCTATCTCTCTCTTCCTCTCTGAAATCAGTAAAAATATATTTAAATATATATTTTAGAAAAATTTTAATGGCAAACGCATCAATCCCTTTTATAATTTTCTGAATTCAAAAATTTTAAAAAATGTGGCTGCCCTGTGGTATGAGATGGACTGAATGCTCATAGGCGAGTGAGCATAATGTCTTACTGTGTTAAGTACAGACTTTGAAATATCTGAAACAAGTTCTCATTCAATTGCTCTTAGTTCTACCTTAAAAAAAATAAATTGCTCTAGGTATAATACTGTAAGTTACAGTTTTCTATTAAGTAATTAAGAACTATTTTTAGGAGGAATAATGGTACTCTAATATTTACTTCATAATTCTAAAAAGTTATTTAATGTTCTAAGTTTCACAGGCCTCAAAAGACAACCAGTATTATCAAATTTTCTTTTGGGAATTGGATATCCAATTATGTACCTTTATGAGATTAAAAATTGCAATTATTCAATGAGTTGCCAATGAACAAAATGAAATTTTTAAAAAAATCCTCACCTAAGGACATTTTTCCATTGATTTTTAGAGGGCATAGAAGGAAGGGAGGAGGGGGGAGAGAGAGAGAATGAGAGAGAAACATCAATGTGAGAGAGACACATCGACCACATGCACCCTGACCTGGGCTGGGGACTGAGCCTGCAACCAAGGTACGCTCCCTTGACCCGGGAATTGAACCCACAACCCTTTGGTCTGTGGGCTAACACTCTAACCACTGAGAAAAACCAGCTAGGGCACAAAATGCATTAAAAATAAATAAATCTCCACTTCTTTGCAGGCTCAGAACCTTGGGTGATGATATAAGGTATCATGAATATTAATTGAATGTAGATTTCCTTGAATTCACTAGTTTCCTGCAGAGCTGCAGATTCACAGTCAATAGGTGAAGAGAGAGAATTTGAGTGCTTGGGGAGCTGAGGCATTGAATGGGCCTACATGTGGGGGTGGGAAAGGGTCTCAGAGCAGCACTGTTTCAGTTAGGCATCAAGCAAGGCTACTTCTATTCAATGCTAATGCATAGCTCTTATCGGGCCAATGGCAGGGCCAATGGCACCACTGTGAGCAGCGATTCTCATACTTTAATGCATACACAAATCCCCTGAGGATCTCATTAAAATCAGATTTCATCCAGTAGGTTTGGGCATGAGGCCTGATGTTCTGCATTTCTAACAAGCTCCCAGGAGACACTGGTCCTGCTGGACCACCAGGAGTAGCAGAAACTCCGAGCACTGATACTGTTCTTCCAGTCTAGCAATGCGATGTGTGACCAAGAGTTGGGGGCCCATGCTCTCTCATCTAGTCTCCTATTAAGCAGCTGTAAGACTGGGAAATTATTTAACCTCTAAGAGACCTATTACCTCCTGTAAAATTACAGGTCTGCACCAGGTGGTGTGTCTGGTACCTTCAGAACTATATAGGATTCCTTATTTTTGTCTTAGCTGTTATCTTCTATATGTCCCCACATAAGTGGTTAACAAACATCAGAACATTTTATTGCACTGTATTATTCCCCAAAGTCACAGTTGTGTTTTGTGTTTTTTGACCCAAGATGATAGCTGTTTTTTATGTCACTTTCATATTCTTTCCCCATAATTTTTAGAACACTATTCAGATTTGCTTTTTCATTTAACTTTACGGAGACTTTTAATGAATACTGAGTCTGTGAGGTTAGTTCTCTGTTGCCCAAATGGGAATGGAGTTCTTGTTATTTCACATTTTTCAGAGAAGCTGTAATATTTTTAAATAGAGGGTGATCCTTAATTGGAGCCAATCTCCTACATTGCACCCCTGCTAAGGGCAATGGCTGGTAATGATTTTAAAGCAGTTAGCAGGGAACACATTCTTCCCTTTCTCTGAATAGAATTTGAGTCAGCTGCTTCCTGTGTATTCCCATTACCAACACTTTATTCAGAACTTGATTAATTCTTGTCTGGACTACTGTACTAACCTACCAACTGGTGTTCCACTTCCAGCCTTTCAACTCTATAATTATTTTAATACATTCCTGCCAGACTGATGTTTCCAAATGTCCATAAAGTGCATGCCACTTCTGGCCAAAATCCTCTCCGGGCCCTTATTCAACACCTTCATGCTATGGGGCCAACCTACCATTTCAGGTTCCCACTGCTTCCCATAGCCAAGTATTTTCTACATTTCCCATATCCATGACTGTTTATACATCTCCTCTACCTGGTATACCTTCCTCTGTGAAAACCCACTCCACTCTTCAAGAGCTGTTATAAATTCCAGTTCTTGCTTAAAGTGTTCCCTGATCCTTCCAGCAAGAAGATGAATTCATAAACACCTTGCTTTTGATTCTCTTCTCTACTCAACACCTGCTGCCCTGTATTGTAATTTCTTCGTATCCTTCCTCACTGCCATCTACTGCACAATTCGTAGGCATCTGTAGTGTGTTTTAATGATCTCTGTAGGTCGCAAAGTGCTTTTTAAATTTTTTATATCTGTTGAAGAAATGAATGTATAATGAGCTTCAGTATTAATCTACAGATCAAATGTTCAGAAATTGAAGACGTTTAAAAATTATTCATCAGTCTTATCTAGAATTTATTTTGGGCAAATTAATTCCTGTGGCCCAGTATTCTCTCTATATATATATTTGGGGGGATATTTAGTAATTTTTTTGTACTCAATGAATAAAGCAGTACGCTATATAAATGCTGGAGAAGGGAGAAATCTTTTGACTTTCTGGATCATGGTAAATATTGTCATAGGATATGTGTATTTCAGATTCAACTACTGTGTTGTTGAGACAATTTTACATGTGAATTCAGAATATACAAACATGATATACTCATATTTAAGATTCTAAAGATTTAACACAGTTACACTGGCTTTATAATTTATGACTACACAGTGTTAGTATTTCAAAAGGAAAAGTAGAACTTCTTCCTTAAGGTAACATGGGCACTGCCTTAGGAATTATCCCATTACTGTCTATCATGGTTCGGGGACCATTAAAGGTGTACATTAATTATTTTCTTAAAACACAAAAGTAAAAAAGTTTTAAAAATTCACAATTATTTTAGGATTTGTGAATCTTGGGCACATACCAACTTGATTCCCAGTGCCCCATAAGATACAACATGATGACTGGGAATTTTCAGCTGTAGTGTGTTAATCCTTTAGGATACGAGGCTGTTCTACCAGTGCAATGCTGCAATAATCTTAAGAACTGTAAAACTAAAGCTTGAGAAGACGAATGTTACATAATCAAAGAAATTAGCTATAATTTATCTGTTATGTTACAAAAACTTTTTAGACTAATAGAACATTAAAAACCTTAGTTTGTGATGGGTGAAAAAGGGGAAGGGATTAAAGAAGTACAAACTGCAAAAAAATTTGTAGTTACAAAAGAGTCATGGGTATGTCATGTACAGCATAGGTAGTATAATCAATAATACTGTAATAACTATGTATGGTGCCTGGTGGGTACCAGAAATTTCGGGGGGACCATTTAGTAAAGTATGTGACTGTTATGCTGTACACCTGAAACTAATACAAAATAATATTGAATGTAAATCATTATTGAAAAATAAAGTTTAAGTAATTCAAAGCTACTTACAAAGTGAAAAAACAAGAGTAGATAATGGTGGGTGTGGAAACCTATGAATCTGAACATTGTTTCACATCTGAGCAACAAGCTAATCATTTATCAGCTTTGCTCCCAAAGATGTAAACTACAGTATTTTCTCTTTAATCTTGGAGTATAGTTTTATTTGCTGCTAAAAGACTTTTGATTTCTTCCACCGACTTCTTGTTAGAGTGGCACTAGTCCTCAGTAATGACTGAAAATAGAATTGCAGGAAATATGTAATTCACAAGTCTGTCTTACTAAATTACTTTAAGTTGAGCTGCGTAAAAAAAAGGAACTAATAAAAAGGACATTTTAAATCTTTGAAAAATACTAAAAAATCTTAGTCTAACATAATTTTTAATATTAATGTGTCTTCCAGTCAATTCCATTGTCTGAAAATATAACTTTAAAGCAGTTCTGACTAACTATAAATATAGTAATTTAATTCAAGACTTTTAAAAATTGCTTGAAAAATCTGATAACTATAGAACTCTCCCATCTTTGCCCAACTATATTAGTTTAAGAAGATAAACAAATAGGGTTACACTTCTCTAATAAATATTTTCTATAATATTCATTTTTTTGACACCTATAAATCCTTCCATTGAGGTCGTGGAAAATGCATATCTATAGAGAAATTAAAACTTTTAGACTTACTATCCATTATATGCATTTGAGAGTCTTATTTTGCTGATACTGTTGCATGCTTAGATTTTGTTCATCATGATGAGAAAGTTAAGGAAAATTTGAATGTGTTCCTAACCCCCAGTTTACACACTCTAATGTTTTTCTTGTTTCTTTAAGTGTCTTTCTTTAAAAGGTATAAACACAGTTTTGACTGTACCATTCAAATCATCTAGGCTGAAATAAATGTAAATCTTGTCTCTCTATTTATCATGGAATTACCACTCTGATATACTTGTGGAATATAACACAGCCTTACTTACTACAGATCATGACTATTCTCAACTATTATTTTCAGAATTACTCATTGTAAAAGCAAGAGCGTAACAACAAACCAAGAAACCAAGTTTCACACTGATAGTCTTCACATCGCTTTAGAAGAGCTTATGTGTGTCTTTATTTACAAATTTAAATACATTCATAATTTAGCAAAGTGTATCCCCATGGTTCCTGAAGAGAGAGCTGCAATTGCACAATTGGAAGAGCACATATAATTGAATAACAAAGATTGTTGCCCCAAATATTCTCGTATGCTTTTGCTAAAGCTTTCACTAGCTCTTGCCGTTTCCCTTAATGATGAGTATTTTCAATATAAACAGACAGACACCAGATCAGAAACATTGAGGTCTAGCGCAGTGGTCTCCAGAATTGGCATGACTACTGACATTATACAAGGTGATTTTAAAGGTATACCAACGAATATTTAGTATTTTAATAGACACACATTTATTTTAAGCATATTAGAAAAAAACTAGCAAATCAATCTCATTACTTTAAAGTTATTCTTCCTTGGGTCGTGTTTCCTTTTTACATACATGTAAAGTTTAAAATGTGAATGCATTTAGAGAAAACATTACATAAATTCAGTGTAGGTGTTTCTGACAAAAGTCATGATGGAGGCCAGGGAATCTCTGGAGAGTGGAAAAGTGAGGTGGGAAGGTTGGGGTCAGGTAACAGTGGTTCTGGTTCTAGCTCTGTAACTAACTAGCTGACAAGTGAGACCTCTTTGGGCATCTAAGGCCCACCCAGCACCACTATTCTATGATGCTACATTCTCTTGTCAAATGCCATTATAGTGAACAGCAATCTCTGTACAACAAAAATAAGCATTCTAAGCTTTAACACAAAATGTGCTCATTTCAACTAGTCTGGGAAATTAGAGGACCTAATGTGGAGCTTTCTTTGAGGTTAAAACAAACAAACAAAATCTACTACTGGTAGATTAGACCAATCTTTGAATGGTTGGAGATAAACTTGATTTTGCTTAGTAACTTTTAGTTTTTTTGCCCAGGGAAGGGATTTCAAGTACCCCTATCAACATGAAATCCTATCAACATGATAGCCAAATACCAGAGGGTTTTGCCTGCCATATTCACATGTCATATACCATTCTAACCTGGGAGTAAGAAGCCTGAATATCCATGATGCAGTCTGATGGAGGATTTAAGTAAAACCGGTCTTGGAAGAAAAATGCACTTCTGGTAGATGGAGAAATAGATAGATGAACACTAGCTTAAGATAGAGTTATGTTTTTAGAAACAGGCAGAGCCTGAAGGTTCAGGATAACTTAAAATAGGTTGTCTTGTTTCTGGTTTAAATTTCCACTCTGGAAATAGAAAACATATTAACCAATTACCCATTTTCAGGGGTAATAAAATTGGAACCTCGATTAAACTGTCTTGAATTAGTTCTCTTCTCAATGGCTTGATAATACAAGTTCAAATCAAAGCCTAGCTCTGATGCCAAAAAGCATTCAACGTAGAAAATCTCTATGGAGCAATTGTTTCGTGGCCAGGATTACTATTTTCTAAAATAATCTCTATAGCTTGAAAAGTAAACTAGTTTTTCCTTGAATTGGAGTTGCTTGACCCGCCCCCCCCCCTTTTTAAATATCCCCAGACTCACAGGGAAGAATGTCTTCTTAAAGGTTACCTGTCATTTCTTAAAAGAAATTAGATTACAATTAGACTGAAAAGAAAAGATGATGATGATTATGATAATGGTGACGATGAAGAACTCTGTGAATATTTGAACTAAGCACTTTGGAATTTATCTAATTAAGGACTAAAGTACTTTTATTTTCTATTTGGAATACTAATTACATCTATTTAACCCATTCAGCTTAGCAAACAAATGAAAGAACAGCAATGAAACCACTAAAACCTATTTTTGTGTGTGTGTGGAGATATCTCTGCCTGTAATGGTGTAAAAAAAGAAAAAATGTCTGGGTGAAAATTTTACCATTGATCTCTGAGAGGGTGTATTTGTAGAGCACATCTGAACATACTTGCCATAAATATAGAAACTGGCCTCTGGAATCACAACAATTTCATTATTTGCTGCAATTTCAAAGGCCTCTTGGAAAATGTGGCTTCCCACCTCTTTAGGCTTTTTTTTGTTTGTTTGTCTTTTTGTTTGTTGTTTTTTTCAATTCTCTTGTTAAGAATGTCTGTAGACATGCACTCTTAATCTGGGATAGCCACGTGATCTTTGTCATCCTCAGCTACATGCACGCTGTGTGGATCTATCTGCTCCTGACTCCAGGTCGGTCACGGCTGATTCAGTCTCCTCCGCAGAAGGGCGGCCAGTCTCTGTCTGTTCTCATTTATTGAAGATGCCCGGCCCCTGGGCGGGTGCGGTTGGAGACTGGGCAGACCTGAGCTGTTGGCCCTCTTGGGCTGAGCTGAGGTTGGAGAAGAAGTGGGTTTCGACACGATGTTGAGGCCTGGGATTTTGGTGCCCTTTTCAGAGTTCGGTTTTGCAAGGCTTCTCTCTCCCTGATGACCGGCTGCAGAGGCGGCGAGGCTACCGGGGCTGAGGAACCGCGGGGTCACCGGTAAACTTCCACTGAGCCTCCTGAGCTCCAGGAGCTGTTCTCTGGCCTGACTCAAAGCCTCCGTCAGTTCAAAGCGTTCTTCACACTCTCTCCGCACTGTTTCCTGAAGAAAAGTGTTCTGAAATGAGAGAAAGGGGGGAAGCATCCTAGCTTTAATCAGTGTACCTATGGATAGTTCTTGGCAATATAAACAGAACTGAACTGGAAATCAGGGGTCTGGGTTCTTTGACTATCTTTGTGGATACTCTGCCACATGGGACAGAAAAGTAAAAAATGCAAATGATTTGTGAAGCTGGAAAACACTTGAAGAGAACATTCATTTAACCCTTGAAGTTTGCAGATGAGGAACAAAGAGCCAGGGTCACTCAGATGATAGAGGTGGGGCTGGGGCTGGGGCTGGTTCTGGGTTCCATTCTGTCCTACCTATGTGATGCCTAACAGTTAATATCTGTAGTGCCATTAAGTGATTGAGCATTGACCTGTGAACCAGGAGGTCACGGTTCAATTCCTGGGTAGGGCACATGCCCGGGTTACAGGCCCAATCCCCAGTGTGGGGCATGAAGGAGGCAGCTGATCAATGATCAATGATTCTTTCTCATCACTGATGTTTCTATCTCTCTCTCCCTCTCCCTTCCTCTTTGAAATCAATAATTATATATATTTTTAAAAAGTTTGCAGCCTTGTAAGTTTGAGCAGAGTTGCTTTTTATGTCCTTAAGAGAATCTGGAGCCAAGGGTGGAAGCCATGGGATTTACATCAAGCAAGAATTTGAATAGGTAGCACTCTCCAGAGGATACTCTGAGGCAAGCATGTCAAACTCGGGGCCCATGGGCAGTTTGACATGCATGCTCTGAAGGGTCGAATCTCATTTGACTGGGATATATCAGAGCAAATTTAAGCTTCACATGTGTGACTGGACTAGAGATCATTAAGGTCCTTACAAATTCTGAGGCTCTACATTTCTAGCTGAAGAGTTGCCCATCTTTCATCTGAGGAATTCACCAAAATTACTTCAAGGCCCATGGTAAGAATTGGGTCGTGGATCAGCCTAATGCCCTGACATTTATGTCTGTACCTTGTCAAAAAAGAGTCTAAAAAGTAACAATTCAAAGTGGTATCTGAATAAGTAAACACAATTACAATGATTGTGGCATGAGATTCTTCGACTGAAAATGAACTTCCGTCAGGTTAGCTTGTTTGTAAAAACAGCCGAGACATTCCCGCGTCTGACTCTCAGTGGAAAGCATCCTCCTAGGGGTTTCATGACTAATCTGCTGTCAGTGGAACTAAATTACAGACCATCAAGGAAAGTGCACCTTCCTATATTTGAGTTTCTTGTGATTATGGTTAGAACTCCATTCAATTCCAAATTTGGTAATCAATAGTGAGGAATGTGGAGCAATTCCAGATTAACAGTTGCCCTGTCATCTTCTATGAAACCAGCGTCATGCCTGGGTCACACGAAGCCTCACATGTACATATATTATTAACACATATACAGGATTCATATATGCACATATTATTTTTAAAACCATGAGGGTTCATCACGTGATTCTAGTTAATTTCTATTCTATTTTTTTCCCTTTGAGAAACAGGAGACTAAGGATTGTGTCTGTGGCATTATCATCTGGGTCTCATGAACTCTACCTGAAATACTTGTTGGAAAAGCAAGGGAAAGAGGGCTGGAGAAGATTAATATGGTGCTACGCCGGGTATCACCTCATTTCCTGCTCCCAAGGACTACGTTTGACAAAGAAGCTCACACTGGTTATGTAACTTGCTGAGAGTAACCCAGCTCCCAGTGGCCTATGCCTAAGTTAATTGTCAAATTAATTATATCAACCATGCAGGGGCCATTGTGTTCCAGGACACTGAAGCAATAAAAAACAGTAAGACATTTAATTTGGTTTTGCCCAAGTTTTCTAAACTTCATGTAAAATGATTAGATTTACAAGTCATTCAATACTGGGTAAATTAATATAAAAATGTCCTGGATTAAGAAAGCTATGAGAAAGAGTTAATTTTATTTGACAGTAAAAAGACAAAAAATGGATAGCAGTTAACAATGAGGTCAATAAATTGGTGCAATGAATAATAGGTGCACTAATATGGAAAGACAAAGTGATGGGTGATATGATGACGAGAGTTCTCATTTAAAAGTAACATAAAGTTTGATCCAGTTACTAAAATTAAATTCAGATCTCAAAGGAAAGACACAGTGCTCTACAGAAAACATCCATAAAGTAAATCACTTAAAAGCTATCCCAGTCAAGTGACACTCCACTAGAGGAGGACGTAGAAAGGCAAAATGAACCCCAAGAGGTCCCCACAGCAAGTATAATGGAAGCAAAGTGCCCGTCAACTCCAGAGTGAACTTGGAAGGGCTGCTGGCCATCCCAGTTGGGGGTCCACTGCTGTGGAACTCATCCTCATCAAGGCTATCAGCTTCCAGAAAAAAAAGGATGAACTCTCTTATTTCCCACACTGGGAGGACCTCTGAATGGAAAACAGGATCCAAAGTTAGGACTTTTATTTTTGTCTGTTCTGCAAACACTATGAAATCTCAGGTGAATCCCACAATAGCTGCATATCCTCTGTCACCATTACCTCCTCCTTTAAAACTGAGATTATAATTCTGTGTTGTGCAACAAGCAGCTCATATATTATCATTTACTCACTCAAGGAGTAAAAAAATGGAAACAGAACACATCAAGTTTAGGGGACTGCTATTTCAGGGGTGGAGTGTGTGTGACAGGGCATGACCAGAGCACACGTGGATATGGCCAGAATCAGTAAGACACATTAATGGAAAATTCCATCATATGTGGAAAAGAATCATTCACTCGTGGTTGGATTGCTTTCAGCAATCGAGGCAAAATGTTTGTCTCTTTTTTAGTTGTCTTTTTGGAAGGTTGTGTTGTAGCAGAATTTTAATATGTGCTTTTATTGAACAACATGGGAAAATGTGTGAGATGGAATATCTTCAGTAAACTTGAAAATCATGGGTAAGCATGAGAATAATCAGTGAAGCCATAGCATTCTCAATGTTTCAGGCAGAGTTGTCATTGGCCATATTTTAGTGTGATAAAATAGCGTAACTGGATTGCAACTAAACGGAGTCAAGATGAAAAGGGAGGCATGAGGGAGGTGAAGAAGGGACGGTGGGGTTTTCCAGGCCGAGTGGGCGTGAGTACAAACACCTGGCAGTGGGAGTGGGAGAGGCACGTTTTGGGATGACACATGGCTTAGAATGACTCAATTGCAGAGTGTGCAGGGGAGGAGAGACCAGGACTGAGGCAGGGAGGAGTGAGCAGGTCAAATCAAGCACAGTTTTGGTAGCGTGCTAATACTAGAATTTTGTCTGTTTTAAATAGAATCACCTAGTAGCTTCTACAAATCCCTATACCCAATGCCAATTAAGTAAGGATCTCTGGGGTAGGGCCCAGCCATCACTTTTTTCTTAATTCCCTAGATGATTCCAATATACCGACACTTAAATTTTTTCTAAAATTTATTTTAGAGAGTGGAAGGGAGAGGGAAACAAACATCTTGATGTGAGAGAGATACATGGATCAGCTGCCTCCTGCACATCCCCTACTGGGGATGGAGCTGGAAACCTGGACATGTCCCTTGTCCAGAATCGAACCTGCGACCTTTTGGTGCACGAGAGGATGCCCAACCGAGTCACACCTTTCAGGGCTAATACTAGAGTTTTAACTTAATTCTGGGGGCTATTTGGAGTGATTGAAAGGTTGATTTTAAGCAAGGAGCTGGATGGTCAAATTTAGATTAAAGGAAGATCCCTTGGCCAGCTCTGTGGAAAATGGCCTCGAGTGGGGCATGATGGGAGGAAGGGGGGACAGCAGGAGGCCAAAGTTTTCAGGGAGAAGGTTCCTACCCTGAGTGGCTCTTGGTTAGAGGAGGGAGAACTAGCATTCCTGTGTCATTAAGCCGTGTGGATTGGTGGAGAGCATTATCTATACATATGTGTACAACATTTTCAGATAAAGGCCGCTTTCAATGAGCTTAAAAATATGGCTCAATTGTACTCCTACTGGGCAAGTAAATGTCAAAATAAAAATATAAATTGGCTCACCATCTGTTGGAAAGTTTTAATATGGCCAATTTTCTCCACTCTTTGCAAAGTAAGGATGGTTTATTTTTATGTTTGTTTTCATTTTTATCCGTAGAGACAGCTGGATTGCTTTCAACAGTGGAAGAAGCAAGAGAAGGCTTTGCTGGGTAACTTGGTCATTCTGAAGGTGAGAATCCTGTTTGTGATAGAAATGGCTACATCTGGCATAAATGGGGGAAATGTGCTAGGAAAGCAAGTCCTCATTGAAGAATAAGCACAGATTGGCATTTTGTTTATGCTTTACTAGAGGCCCTGTACATGAAATTCGTGCACGGGAAGGATCCCTAGGCCTGGCCAGTGATCAGGGCCGATCAGGACCTTCTGGCTGCCGGCCAGGGCCTTCCTTTGTTCCGCGCCACCCCCTAGTGGTCAGCACATATCATAGCGAGCGATCGAACTCCCAGTCTCCTGGTCAAACTCCCGAGGGGACACTTTGCATATTAGCCTTTTATATATATAGATACCCAGTGAGGTCTGAACCAGTGAGATTACAGTTTCCAACAACCCAAACTAGATATAGCTCAGGGCGAGTGGATGGCCAGCCAGCTGGGTGGGGAGTTCGGTGAGAGGAAGCTCTGTGGAAAAGGTGTGGAAATCAGAAAGATGAGTAGGAGTTAGCAAAGGATATGCCCAAATTTCCATTTAAGGCTTCTGCTCAACTAATATGATCAGCCCAAAATACTGCAGAAAAACAGTGAAAATTGCCCTTTGGTAAGGCAGGAATGAGAATCTGAATAGATTTCCAGGAGAGGAGGAGGATGGACATCAAGAAAGTTATTCTTAAATTCTTAAAGTTATTCTTGTATTTGTATGCTTGCAAACATAATGAACACTGTGAAATAACTATGGCAGACATACCAGAAATGACAATAATCCTTGGACTGATCTCACTGTTTAGTTTTCTAGGTGTTGATTACTAACTTTTTACCAAACCACTTACTTAAGTGTGAATGTCCTCTCAACATGTCTCAGTACTCCATCTA